AAATTGAGCTGTAGCTTTGGACCATTATCCAGGTTTAACTCCAAAGGATGTAAATGCGTCTGTAATAAAACATAACATGCAAGAAGGTTGTATTCTACACCGTCATTTACATTTGTGGCTGCAAAATGGACTAGCATCTCCTTTCTCTTTCTTCCCAAGGGAGGGAAGGGAATGTTTTGGTCTTAGTTTCAGTGCCTTTCTCTTTTTTAAAACACTAGGACACCTAAGAAACAGATGGAAAACAAACTCCCTAGTGTGTGGGGTGGGGGATGAGGCGAGACAGCTCAATTGACTTCCATGGGGACCATTTCTACTAAAGCAATGAGGACAAACAGCCCTGTGGGAAACTGTAGAAGAGGCACAGTCAGGTTACGTCTACATGGCAAAACAACAACAAAAAACCACCACAGCGAATCTGAGCCCAGCTGAAGTGATGTAGGCTTGTGTTCTGGGGCTAAAAATAGCTGTGTAGGCATTTGGGCTTGGTCTCCTGGAGCCTGAGCTCTGAGACGCTTCCCGGGCTATTTTTAGCCCTATAGCATAAGCCTGAGTCAGTAACCTGAGCTCTGAGACTTGGTGCTGCAGGGGGTTTTTGTTGTTGTTTTGGTTTGGTTTTTTTGCTTCCTAAGCAGGTGCACCCCAGAAGAATCGCATAGTATTGCTCTCAAAGGAGTTGTTGAGAACTTTCATTATTATTCTCGTAGCTTCACTCATGGAGCAGGACCCCATTGTGCCAGATGTTGTATAAACAGGACCAAACCATAGCTCCTGCCCCAAAAAGCTTCCTGTCTGTGTACGGGGAGGAGCGCATTTCCCCTTCAGTGCCCCTAGCTTTGAGCACTTGCTTAAGTGTGTGTACCGTGCGCTATCTCCAGTAAACATTTATAGCAAGAAAAACACTTGATTATTTAAGCTGACTGCCCTTGCAGCGAGGAGAGAGCCTAGATACTGACTGAAGGGCACACAGGAGCCTCTATTGCTTGAGGAAGCCCGCTGCTCAGGGGATGCTGCCAAAAACATTAACTCCCTGCTACAGCTGATATCTGCCACTCCTATGAAATCGGTCTCCTAGGAGCATGACTGGGCGATTTGCAGACACCTTATCTGCTGAGTATCAGAGGGGTAGCCGTGCTGGTCTGAATCTGTAAAAAGCAACAGAGGGTCCTGTGGCACCTTTAAGACTAACAGAAGTATTGGAGCATAAGTTTTCGTGGGTGAATGCCCACTTCATCAGACGCAAGACTTGGGGGATGAGGCGAGACAGCTCAATTGACTTCCATGGGGACCATTTCTACTAAAGCAATGAGGACAAACAGCCTCAACAATGGAACCTGCTTATGGTGAAATTTTTTTTTGTAAATCTGATTTTACTACAAATGTTGTAAGTGGAATTACCAGGAGAAACCTGTAGATCGTAAAAGCACGGACATGTGCTACTATGGTATAAAAGTCCGCAGCCTTCTGCTTTTCATGATTCAATTCCCATGTGTACTACAGAGTGTTGTACTTAAAGTACTGCACAGGATCTTTTCAGGGGGAATAAGGCAAAACGCCACATTTATTAGTAATACATGTATTCATTAACACTGCAAAAGGGGGACAATGTAGATCAATCTCTGATAATTTTCATATGACTTTACATTGTGCCTCTTCATATAACCTTGTGGTGGGTCTACCCACTTGTGATCTCTGTTTTCATGGG